ATCACATGCGATTTTTGCACTTTTCTAGGTCAGCTTTTTGAGTAATCGTTTCTCTGCTACATTGTTGTGTTGTATTCAAATAAAACAAGTTTGAAAACTAGCTGTCATAAAAGCTGTATTGTTATGCTTGGTACAATGTTTAAAATTCCAATATTACTGTACGTTGTATTAAACTAATATATTTATTTTGAAAGTAAGATATCTGTTATATTGCTTGATGGAGTGGCAAAATTTTGACGTTCCAACTGTAGAAATATATGAATATATTACATAATAAATTGTTTAAGAGAAAAAATAAATCAAATGTTTAATTTGCTCAGTTGAACATTAAGTAATGTTAATGTGATTGATCTATATTAAATATATATAAGTATGATTTTTAACAGCAAAATGTTAAACAAAATTTCTAAAATCATAATGTTTACAATTAGTAATTTGTAAGTTGTGATCCCTTTCTTACAGTTGATTAGATTTCTTTTCACATATTAGTTAGTAAATGAGCTGACATTTGAAATCAAATTTGCTTGCTTACTTAAACTCGGTAGTTAAGGGATTAGAAAAGTATACAACGTGTTTTCTTATTCCGTGAATGAATATAATAGAAAAACATCAACAGTAAAATAAGCTGTTTTCATGAGAAAGAAATATTAAAGTTTTCAAAAATGCCATAACTTTTATAGCAAGTGTTATAGTGTATAATAGCAATTATTCATATTAAAAAACAACTGTAAATAAAAATAAATTAACGTCACCTAGAGGATAAGCATTGAACTTCTTTTTACTCTAAAATATTTTTCATTTCTGCTTTGATGATTAAAATCCAAGGTCATTCTCCAGTCACCTTTTTCACAAATGCTGTTATCTTTTATTATTAAAATATATTTACGTTTTATGATATTTTAAGAACCTGTACTAGTCAAAACTGAAAAGTAAAATGAAATGTGTAATGTCAGTTTTATGTTTAAAGGTCTTTCAGGTGATTTTAAATACCTGTTAGTGAATTTAAATAAAAATGTGTTTGGTTATGTGTAACATTTTGAGGTATGTTCTCTCTCTCTCTCTCTAGGCCTTTTAGAGCTGTTTCTAAAAACCATTGTTTATTTTTAATTACATAAATGTCAAATTTGTTACATACTGTCCATACTATGCTATGACTCACCCCAGTATAAGTCTTTTATCTAACTGATGTAAAATTCGATGTGCAATGATTTTATTTTATTTTTTTACTTTTTCAGTGGCTGCCTTGCGTGGGGTAGCAATTCAGAGAGGACGGGCAAGGGGAGCTTTTGCCACTGCCTTCACCAGGCACCCTTCTCCACTAACAGCTGTCGCAGCAGCTACAGCACTGCATGGGTATACTCCGTAAGTTTTTCTATAAATCACGTTATCACAAGATTCTTGTCAGCAGTTTTATTTTTGTATTTATTGCTAAGGTCTTGTAAACAAGTACTTCTTTGTACTTTGTAATTGCATAAGAGGGGGAGCAATTTAGGTAGGGCAGGGGGATAATTGCCCTCCCCCATGCTTAATATTACTTATTTATTTTGGGAACAATACATATTCTTACGTCTCCGTTTGTTAATTAACTTTCCGTAACTTCGTTCCGACGAAACTTTAGCGACACAAGTTCTTTA